GTACGACAAATTTGTAAGCTTTCTTTTTCTTTGGGCCACACAACGCACAGCAAGCACATTGACCAGGGATTGCCCGTTCTTGTGTGTGTGTGTCTGTGTGTTTGTCTGTCTGTCTGCCTCTGTTTCTGGCATTTGCCGCAAATAGTGCTGCTGCTGGCGACAAAAAATCAGGGGAAGTCTGCAAAAACTGCTTTTTTGCACAAGCCGCCGGTCTTTTGCATGCAAAGTACGCACACTGCAAACTAAGCACAGCGGTTGCACATCCCGGCCCTGCACTCGCTTTCCATCCTGCACATCTATTTTCAGCATTTTCTGCCTCCATCCGCACTTTCAGCCCACACGTTTCCATATCCACTTTCCGCCGAATACGTCATCACGCACCACCATTTCACTATCTTACACTTCCTGCCGGGGCAACGTTGCCGGACTTCCCTGGCACGTTGCCAACCAACTTTTCCTCCTCGCGCTACGAAGTACTATTGCCAGAGATGGCAGACGCCTCATTCGGGTGCAAAACGCACCGGCCGAGCCGACCTTCAGTTTTTGCCCACAGAAAGTGCAAAAACGCAAAACCGCACCGGCCCGCCTGGTGCATCCTAGCCTGAGTCTGTTGCCAAACTAAGAAATTCCCCCGCAAAATTTTCCACGCCGAAGATAAGCATACATGAAAGCTGAACCCGAAGTCCAAGCACTATACAGTGCCAGACGGTGTCACACCAAATATTCAGATTTCCATTTTGCCGTTACTCGAGGTAGGAATTTCCCTGCCAAAATTACCACATGCCCAAACGTGCAGGCTAGGAGACGTAGTGGCTGAAATTAAATTTTAGGGGTGGCATACAGACTTTAAGTATAAAAGTAAAATTTGAGCTTCTTAGCTTTTCCAGTTTTCCAGTTCGTGATTTCAGTACCAACAATTGCATGTCCCTATACGGGAGACCAGCACGTACGTGGAAAATGAATTTAGATCTTTGAGACCGAACTTGGACAAGAAATGCTTACCATTCTGAAATTTCAACGTCCTAGCTTTTCAGGCTCCCGAGTTAGTGACTGTGGTTGTAATTTAGACAGCAAGATGCTTCAATCGGCGTTGATGAGACGACACCACTCAAAACAGACTGAGAATGTAAGCAGTAAGGTAAACAAAATCTTTGTTCTGAACGCGACCAATCTCCTAAGAAAAGATTTATTCAAAACAACTAACACAAATATCAGATTAATGCAATGCTACTGAAAAAAAAAATGGCGATAAAATTGAGAACGCATAAAATCGGATAAAATTCAAACATGCAGCTCTCCGATAACAAAATAATGCAGTGCATTCACACACATTCAGCAACTTATTCACGAAAAAAAAAAACGTTACCGCAATAAAAAAAAAAAAAGAAAAAAACTCAGTATTGACAACTTAAAGAAACTTGTAACGTGTGTGCACAATATTTGAGCACAGCTACAAAGAATGGTGTGTGTGTGGTGCAGTGTCCACGCTGTGTGGGCATATAAAAGCACCACCACAATATTATCAATAGGGAATCCCTTCATGGCAATTTTGGTGTATTCAAATGATACGCACACACTACTGCATTTGTGGGTTTTCACCTGGTTACGTTCGATAAATGTTAAAAAAAAAAAAAAAAAAAAAAAAAAAAAAAAAAAAAA